GATCAGTAAATACATCTTTTTAAACGCCACAACTTTTATCTGAAACATTTTTTTCTAAAATGCTTAGTTTTCGAGATATTTCACCGGTCCGGGACTTTTTGAACACCCTGTATATATATATATATATATATATATATATATATATATATATATATATATATATATATATTAATATATATGCCCCCAATGACCCCGGACCTTTGTGTTCCAAACACACACTTTACAATAAAATACACGTATTTCCCACATAGCAAATCTTTTAAAATGCTTTTCGAAAGATAACTTAGAAATTATATTGAAATATAACATTGAAATAATTCAGAAATATTTTTGAAACGTTTCATCAAAATCTTTTTTACTTAAATATTTCAGAAGTCGTTTATAATGAGCGTTGATTTATATGTTTATACATAAATTTAATTAATTTTATTAAATTTTATATGGTTAGGTGGACTTCTTTTTTTAATTGTACTGTTTTATAATTACTCAAAATTTATAGTATTTTATGACTTTATATATTTAATAACAAATCGCAAATGTAATGTTTTAAGTATTGTTTGTAATATTTGTAGAATATTTTATTTCAGATATTCTGAGATATTTCCAACGACAGTTCTCTAGAATATTTCAGAAACATCGCAAATGTAATGTTCTAAATGGAATATTCTTAAAATATATGAAATATTCTATTTCAAATATCTGTACAATATCCCAAGAATATTTCATAGTGAATAAAAAAATTTTTACTATAAAAATTGAAAGATAACGAAATGGAATGTGCGGAATTTTGAGACTTCACCTCATTAGCTAAGAGTTAAATTAACACATACAATAAAATTACAAAAAATATAATTTTATTAAAATGAAATTATTTTATATATATTAAATCATATTATCAAAAAATTATATTACTGTGTTAATTACAACATATATAGACAAAATGTAAGACGTTTACATCGATCGAAGTTCGTGGTGTAATGTCTAAAGCAACAGACTCATAATCCAAAGGTGCCTCTAGGGTCCAAGTTCGAGTCCCACCAATGCCAGTGAGAATTTTTAAATGTCATGTAACATTGAAATCAAGTAATATAAACTTTCCAGTAAAATCTCTGCAAACACTGTGATATTTACAAATAATTTATAAATATAAAAACGAAAAAATGTAAAATACAAATAGTTTCTGTATATAGAAAAAAATATCTGTAATATTTCCCATTTATTTTTGAAACATTTCAGATAGTACATCATAGCGGACATTTCATGTATTTGAAAGATATCTAAAATATGTCTGAAATATTTCTTTGAAATGTTTCATATTTCATAATAAAAGCTTTTTGAAAACTTTTTGAAATGTGTTGGTGCTGTGTGGGTTTGTACTTGTAGCTAAATGTACGTTTGCACACCTCAAATTCCTGTTGCGTTGCACTCAATTACCACTCAAAAATACACTTAATGTTTACGTTTTTACTATTCCTTAGCAATCCGTAATCACCACTCGTTTTTAATAAAAGTGCCCCTTTCCGATCTATAAACGGGATCATACTCGCTGTATTGAATACATGCTTTTACTATTCAAATTAAACATTTTTGAGGGCTAATACCGGTGAAATATTTTTGTAAGAATAGTATCTAGGAAAACTGGCTCACATCTAGACAATTCCGAGTCCAAATTTCCAAACGGGGTCTTTTAAATGTCAGGACTGTCTAGTAACTGTACCAATTACACAAATAGTGGGTAGATGAAAAAGATTACATTGTAACGAGATAGAAAATTATCGATAAATCCTGAATAGAAATTATCAGAACTATTTAGTAACTTTACCAATTACATAGACAGTGGTTAAACGAATAAGATTATACAGTAACGAGATAGAAAATCATCGGTAACTCCTGAATAGAAATTGGACGTCAGAACTGTCTAGTATCTACACCAATTACATAAACAATGGCTAGACGAAACGGATTACACAATAACGAGATAAAAAATAATCGGTATATCCTGAGTAGAGATTGAATATCAGAATTGTCTAGTAACTATACCAATTACATAGACGAAAGCATAAGTTAAAATTATACAGTAACAAGATAGAAAATCATCGATAACTCCTGAATAGAAATTGGATGTCAAAACTATCTAGTAACAATGTACTGTAAATCCTGAATGAAAATTGGATATCAGAACGGTCTACTCATTAAATAGTACATTTGTGTATAGATAATGACGAAAATACACAAATTTATTATCTAGTGGATAGACATATTTTATATCTAATTTCCATTAGGATTGACAATATATTGTTATAGACAGTTACAAACCAGCGTTTGATATTCAATTTCTATTCAGGATTTACTGAATTTTCCATCTCATCACTATGTAATTGTTTTCGTCTAGTCATTAGATAAAACAATGTTAAGTAAACTGTTACGTCCCGTAGGGCCTCACATACCTTTACATTGCGTAAAGACCGATTACTTATCCGACCGGGTTACAAAAGCTAAGTACAAAAAAGGAACACGTAGATCTCGAATCTTATAAAAGAATCATGAATCATATTACCTACAATTATGCATGTCCACATATTGCCTGATCGAACATTTCCCGAATTTCTATTTTTTCCCACCCAATTCGAGCCTCATCCTTGTCACTAAGCAAGACATCTCCAACGAATCCGGTAACCACCATTCCCGAAATTTCCCATTTTCCGAAACTATAAAAAGTCCGATCCGTATGATTTCTGAGATTCATTGTCATTACGACTATAGCTATCACCACGGGAATCACTTCTGTGATCATTATCATTTCGACTTCTAAAGCTATCACTACGAGTTTTATTATCACTACGAGTATCATTTCTGTGATTATTATCATTATCACCTCGACGAGTATCATCTCAAGAATCAGAATCGAAAGAAGCAACTATCTCAGGAGATCCAGAACCATCCATTTCTCTCCTCGTACACAATAACAGTAAGTTATTGTTTTATTATCCGGTTTTCCTCGTCTCAATTTCGAATAAGTCCGAACAGACATATCTTTACTTTATCGAAAACTCAATTACAATAATTCTGGTGGACATTAATTATCAGAATTTCTAAAATCGGTTTGTTCCTTCTCCGTTGTAGTGGGACGTCGATCTTACCAGCAACGGAGTGATCTACGCGAGGCTCTAGAAACTCTGGAGCTACTATCTTCAATCCTCTCCTATTATCGCTCAAGGTCCAGTCCCGAGTAAAGAGATTCAGTTCTCTGACTCAAAATCGGACCGCCGCCGTACGTCGTCGGGCTAGTAAAGTGACCCTTCTGGTCGTTGACTAATTCTTCGACTTATAAGTACAGGTGAGGCTTTCTTTATGTTGCGTTCTCTTACAGGACGTAACAAAACCATATGTAACTAATATGAAACGTTCACTATCGGTAGTATAGGAGCAATAGTAATAGGAGGAAGGCATACTAGGTGACGGCAGGACGCCGTGCGTTCGAGATCTGTGTATCTTTTCGTTCCCGAGAGAGAGAAAATATCGAGAGCGCGGTTTTGCTAGGCCGGGATTCAAACCCAGGTCTTTCACTTGCCGGGTGACTAAACCACTGAGCTACCTGACGCTCCACGCTCACGACACTCTCCTCTCCTTAGATAACGCTCAGAGATGCCGTTCGGAAGTAGTGGTCTAGTAAGTAAAGTGCCAGACTCAATAGCCAGAGATCTCAGGTTCAAGGTCCCGAAGGATAAAATGAATTTTTCCAATAGAATGGAAATAATACGTAATGAAGAAGAATTACAGAAAACCAAACCCCTCCATTACCTTTTCTAAAGAGAGAGACAGAGAAAACAGATAAAAAATCTATCTAGCCATTAGACATCCGTGATACAGAAATTCTGAGATAAGAAAATTGTCCAAGGATTATAAGGTACTCCTGATATAGAGAAAAAGAGAAATCATTGAAGAGAAATAATTTTTTCGTTTTTGCTATTTAGTCATTATGCAAGCTATATATTTACAAGTTATTTTTTTGTATCTAACTACTAGCTAATCTTTTTGGTACAGCTACTAGGAGAAGTGAGCGTTACATTCCTAGCAAGTACCTAGCTAATACTACTAGCTAGTAGCGATGTAAGACCAATTTTCTATATTGTTGCATGTATGAAAGTGTTGCATGTGTGAAGTTTGCGGCGTTGCGAAACATGCAGCGGGTCCTGAGCGGTCCTCTTGATGACGGTCGCTAAGGAGCGGTTGTCTACAACAGCTAGAGAGTAGAGAGTGAGAGATTGTAAAAGATAGACATGTTTCTCTGATGAGAATTTTATTCTTTCTGATTTCACAGTTTGACAGTTTGTCATTAAAGCTTTCTGTTTCTACAACGTGTTTATTCATTTCCTCGAGTTCGCGGAAACAGTCGCGAGTGTAACATTTTGGGGGCTCGTCCGGGATACGAATTAAGTGTTAAAAAAAAAAGTGCAAAGGAATATGGCCACAACGTTGCATTCGCCCCGAAGAATTCGAGCACAGACATCGGCGGTTCCTGATGCTGAGATAGTGCGGGTCGCTCTTCAGGAGATTCAAGAGTTAAAGGATGAACGAGAGCGGGAGCGGCAGGAGCGAGAGATAGTGCGGCAGGAGTATGACAGAGAACGTCGGGAGCAGCGAGAACGGCAGTCGGAGCTTGAGTCTGTTTTGCTTCAGTGCAATGAGATGCGGCGTCACTTGGAGCAACGACAAACGCAGCTAAGCTTAGAAATTAGTTCTCAAAATGCGGGAACCTCTGGGGAAGCGGAAATTGATTTAGGCTTAAAATTAAAACCTGATATTTTTGATGGAACGATTCCGACACGTGAATTTTTCGCGCAATTCAATTTTATTGCTCGAGCTAATAGATGGGGTGAAGTGGCGAAGACCGCGGCTTTAGTTTCATGTTTAAGAGGAAAAGCTCGTGCTGTTTTAGAGGGGGATTTTAATGAAAGCAATTTTAGTTTTTGTGAATTAAAATCACGTTTAGAATTGCGATTTGGTAAAAGTCAATTTTCAAAAAATTATTATTTACTTTTTGTAAATCGAAAACAGGAATATGGGGAGGATTTTCCGACTTTTGGTGCGGAATTAGAACGTTTAGCGCGTTTAGCTTATCCGGAATGTTCAAATGAGATTCAAGATAAAATTGCCTGTTCATATTTTGTAATTGCAATTAAAGATAATTTTATAAAAAGATCTCTTCAGTTAGAAAATATCACATCTCTTAGATCTGCAGTAGAAAGAGCTATGGTAATAAAAGGAATAAATGAATGTATTCCTCTAGAAGAAAGGGAATTTGAAGAAAAGAGAAAATTTAATTTAAAAAAAAATGAA